GGGCTGTTCTGACTACCACCAGATACTATGAATTTTATCACTTCTTTGGCACTGAGCAGTTCTGTTGTAGTCAGAAACAACGTTCCCTGAATGCCTCTACTTTCTTTACTTCTTACGCTCCAAGCAAATGGCCCCTTGTTCCCTGACATGTGCAGATCCAAAAGTGTTTTGATCAATAAAACGCTAGTTCACTGCAGTTTGTTTTTTTTTATTTTATTTTTTTTCAAATGTAGAATAAGAAATAGTCAAGTCTTAGCGCCGGGAAATTATTACACAGGAAGATGCACATCAAACATGCAATGAGGATGTAGTTTCAAAGAGACATAAATAATTTTAGCGACCATTGTGTGTATATGACTAACTTTGTGGCGAGGCATGATAATTTTGCCTGTGTAATTGTTAGCTGATAACGATTACACTGGAGTGAGTATTCAGAGTTTGCACGCACAGCTGATATTAGTACTGTCTGGCAGATTTACATAGTTTCTGCAAGAGACGTAAAACCGAGTGGTGTATTTGTAAAAAATAGTAAAGGGTAATAAAAAATAGTAAAGGGTAATAAAAAATAGTGAAATACATTTTTTCAGTTGCTTTGGAAAGTGTAAGCAGCGATTACATCCATTACATGCATGCCTCTCCATTGATCTGTTTACACATTAGCTAAACCGTGCGTTGTATTTAACTGTATAGTACACTAATGTGATTACTGTGTTACTACAATGCCTGGTCATTACCATGCCTTGTCTAAGAGATGGCTGGGGAGAATAGACTATCTTGTCCCATGTCAGAGATGGCTGGCAAGAATAGACTACCTTGTCCCATGTCAGAGATGGCTGGCAAGAATAGACTACTTTGTCCCATGTCAGAGATGGCTGGGGAGAATAGATTTGTCCTTGTCCATGGCTGGGGATGTCCTATGTCAGAGATGGCTGGGGAGAATAGAATACCTTGTCTATGTCTGGGAGAATAGACTACCTTGTCCCATGTCAGACATGGCTGGGGAGAATAGACTACCTTGTCCTATGTCAGAGATGGCTGGGGAGAATAGATTACCTTGTCCCATGTCAGAGATGGCTGGTAAGAATAGATTACCTTGTCCCATGTCAGAGATGGCTGGGGAATAGACTAGACAGAGATGGCTGGGGAGAATAGATTACCTTGTCCCATACCTTGTCCTATGAGATGGCTGGGGAGAATAGTCCCACTACTGGGGAGAATAGACTACCTTGTCCTATGTCAGAGATGGCTGGGGAGAATAGATTACCTTGTCCCATGTCAGAGATGGCTGGGGAGAATAGACTACCTTGTCCCATGTCAGAGATGGCTGGGGAGAATAGACTACCTTGTCCCATGTCAGAGATGGCTGGGGAGAATAGACTACCTTGTCCCATGTCAAAGATGGCTGGGGAGAATAGACTACCTTGTCCCGTAGAAAACTGGCAGCAGAGACATGATTTGAATACAAAGGGATTGAGATTAACCTCATTTGGTTCAGGCCTTGTTCTCTTTGTAGATGAAAAATGGAAGAAGAAAATGTATTACTTGTCTCGTCAAAGGTGTCCTCAGTGAATAAATGTGCATTGATTGTCTGTGTGGCAACAACAACAACAACAAATCAGCAGAAAATATTAGAAACTTGGTAGCTGTTATTTTGTAAATTATCAGAAGGAAATAAAGAGGTGAGAGGACACAGAAAACATTACATTATTAATTTTTGTATAATTTGGCCTTTATTAGCCATTAGAACAAATAACATTTATTTCTACTTATGTACCCCCCCCCCTCCCCCCCACCCCAGAAACTACTTATTATATTTGATGTAGCAAGCATGTCAAAAACTACATGTATTAGAATGTTTAGTTTTAGCAGAATTGACTGACAATGAATGTGCTAGGGGCATTCACTCTTGTTATCAGTGAAGAGGAGTTATCACAGGGTCTGCAGTACTCAAAAGACTGGGTAGTATGACAGTGTCTTCATTGAAATCACATTCATGTTATATATAAGTATGTTAGGGTAACAAGTATTTTGTAACTGGATCTAGTACTGATGGTCTAGACAAGGCATACTATTGCAATAACTCTATAATAAAACATCAGAACTTTTACATCTTTTGCTGCGTTCATTTGTTTGATATTATATTCTGTTGTCCGGTTTTGTTTTGTTTGGTAAGTGGTCAAAAACGTTCGGCTATCTTCCAAAAAACAGTCCCAAATTATCGAGGCAGAAAATATACCCTAACAGGTCCTCAGTCACGTGTCAATTGCGCACTTCCGGCGTGGATTCAGGCTCAACTAGATGGCTGGGATTCACGAGCAGCAGCTACCGCATTTCCTGCAGCTGCCTTGGTTTTATTTGCTCGTGAGGTCCCAGCCATCTAGTTGAGCCCCCGAATCCACGCAGCATGAGCAGCGTGGGAGATACTCTCGGCGGTGGCGTTATAGTTCCCAGAAATTCGCAATTCAGCGGTGGCAGTATAGTCCCCGGAAGTTCGCAATTCAGCGGTGGCAGTATAGTCCCCGGAAGTTCGCAATTCAGCGGTGCCAGTATAGTCCCCGGAAGTTCGCAATTCAGCGGTGGCAGTATAGTCCCCGGAAGTGCACAATTGACACGTGACTGAGGCCCTGTTAGGGTATATTTTCTGCCTTGATAATTTGGGACTGTTATTCGGAAGATAGCTAAACTTTCCCTTGTTTGTGTAAATATTATGTGGTCACATATGTGTGTGCCTGCAAGTGTGTGTAAATATGTGGTCACATATGTGTGTAAATGTTATGTGGTCACATATGTGTGTGCCTACATGTGAGTGTAAATGTTATGTGGTCACAAATGTATGTACCTGCATGTGTGTGTAAATGTTATGTGATCACATATGTGTGCATGTGTGTGTAAATGTTTATGTGGTCATGTGTGCATACATGTATGTGTTAATGTTATGTGGTCACATATGTGTGTGCGTGCATGTGTGTGTAAATGTTACGTGGTTACATATGTGTGTGCCTGCATGTTTGTATAAATGTTATGTGGTCACAAGTATGTGTGCCTGCATGTTTTTGTAAATGTTATGTGGTCACATGTATGTGTGCCTGCATGTGTGTGTAAATGTTATGTGGTCACATGTATGTGTGCCTGCATGTTTGTGTAAATGTTATGTGGTAACATGTATGTGTGGGTTAATGCTTATGTGGTCACATGTATGTGTGCCTGCATGTGTGTGTAAATGTTATGTGGTAACATGTATGTGTGCCTGCATGTTTGTGGTAATGTTATGTGGTCACATGTATGTGTGCCTGCATGTTTGTGTTAATGTTATGTGGTCACATATATGTGTGCCTGCATATGTGTGTAAATGTTATGTGGTCACATGTATGTGTGTGTAAATGTTATGAAGTCACATGTATGTGTGCCTGCATTTGCGTGTAAATGTTATGTGGTCACATGTATGTGTGCCTGCGTGTGTGTGTGTAAATGTTATGTGGTCACATGTATGTGTGTGCCTGCATGTGTGTGTAAATATGTGGTCAAATATGTGTGTGCTTGCATGTGAGTGTAAATGTTTATGTGGTCACATGTGTGTGTACATGCATGTGTCTTTAAATGGTATGTGGTCACATATGTATGTGCATGCATGTATGTGTAAATGTTATTGATTAAAAGGGTCTCTAAAGGCAAGAGCAACTTCACTAAATCAATTTCTGTCCCATGCGACCCTGGATCTCTTGACAGAAAGGCTGTTCTACTGCTTATAGCATTGCACATAGCCCAAACTCTTTAGCTCCAGCTGCATCACTTTCTCAAGACTATGAAATTCATACTAGAGACTACATTGCAGACATATGTAAACTATTTCAAGCGAAAAGGACACACTCTATGGTGAATTAAAGATGGGGAGGTATCAAGGCTGACCTCTGCTACAATATAAAGATGTGTGCAAGCGGGACATGAATGATATAGGTAATGAGGTAGATTAATGAGGTACAGATTCGTTGTGCAGAATGCCATAGGAATGAGAATGAAGTTGTGCAGAAGGGGGCACTTCATGAAGGAAATGACTAAACACAAATGTGACAATACACTACTACTACCAATTACTGCTACAGAAAATAATTCTACTACTACCAATACTAGCTACTATACTGCTGCTACTAACCAATACTGAGAAGAAATAGACTAACTACTACTACTGCTACCAATACTACTACTACCACCAATACTACTACTACTACCACCAATACTACTACTACTACCACCAATACTACTATTACTACTACTACTGCAACTACTACCAATACTACTACTACTACCACCAATACTACTACCAATACTACTACTACTACTACCACCAATACTACTACTACTACCACTAATACCAATACTACTACTACTACCACTAATACTACTACTACTACCACTACTACTACTACTACCTAATACCAATACTACTACCACTAATACTATTACTACTACTACTACCAATACTACTACTACTACTACCACTAATACTACTACTACTACTACCACCAATACTACTACTACTACTACCACTATTACTACTACTACTACCAATACTACTACCACTAATACCAATACTACTACTACCAATACTACTACACACTACCACCAATACTACTACCACTAATACCAATACTACTACTACTACCACCAATACTACTACTACTACCACTAATACTACTACTACTACCACTAATACTACTACTACTACCACTAATACTATTACTACTACTACTACGTATCGCTTTCAGCAACCTCAAGTTTCTGGCTACAATGACCTTTGACCTGTACTGCAGGTCGATAACAAGAGAAGATAAAGCCAGGCCTGGGAATTATTTGTTGTCCAACAACCACTCTGATCGTTACTGATAATTTCAGTGATATATCACATTTCTCACCCCATACTTTCTTTCCGCTCCAGTTATTGTACACAATCGAACCGACTACCTACACTGGATGTTTTTGCCTTCTGATCTTACACAACAAACATGGCGAACTTCGTGCTGGATTTTCTGGCTTCGCTGTTCAAGAATGAAGAAACTTTAATGATCTATTTATCGTACATGTTTATAGTGTGTGGTTTACTAACAGTCTTGACCCTGTGGTTGGTGACAGCTCCGTACGGACGCTATTCCAGGAGCGGTTGGGGCATCCTTGTCCCCTCGACGACGGCGTGGCTGCTGCAAGAACTGCCGTGTTTGTTGGTCCCGTTGATGTTGGTTTTATTCTCCGACTGCCCCAGGTCTATCTACTACACCAACCGATTTGTGCTGGGCTTGTTTCTCCTGCATTACTGCCAACGGCGAGTAGCTTTCTCCCGTCTTATCAACTGATACATTCACATTTAACCTGTCCCAACAGTTTCTGCGGAGGGAGGCCTGTCGCCCTACCACATTTCCTTTGTTAGATTAATATAAAATTAATACATAATTATTTTATCCTAATTCTAAAGCTGACATAAAACTTTGAATTTTCCTGTTGGAATGTTGTTTTATTTATGTTACTTTTTTTAAAATTACTGATAACGATCTTGCATGTAAATCACATAATATTACTGAATAATAATATCATGACCTAAAGTACCTTGATCACACAGGTGACTGACTGACTTTCCACCTTCAGCACATCAGACAAGCGATAAACACCCGATGACATAAGTGCCACCATGTGGCTGAGGATCACAACGGGCCAGGCTATATTGTGGCCCCTGGCAAAAGCCAGAGTAGGGCTTCAAATAAAGAAAAATTTCATCATAAAAAGGGTGGGAAGTAATTAATCACACAGGAGTTTTGTTCCCAGATTATAAATGACTGACTGGTTGGTCACAAAACCTTTGGTGCTGCTCACTGAAGCACCCCTCCCAGCACAAAGTTGCAAAAGGATGGGGGGGGGGGCTAAGCTCCCAATAATGTTAAGTGGCCTTTGCCCGCCCTCCCCCTCTCCTTATATAAAAAACATCTATTTAAGTATTTCTTTATACATTTCATATTGCTTCAAATAAAGCGTAATATTTATTTACCATTTAGCACATACTAATTATAAATATTATTGCACACTTAAACAAAGCTTGAAACCCCCTACCATCCCCTAGAAAATTATAAAATGGCTGCTGCTAACCTCTCCATGTCATAGCAGTAGTAGTGTTTTGCAAAAATATCTTGTTCAACCCAGAGGGTTATAACTGAGATATATAGTGTTTATTCAGTTCTCACAGTAAATATATAGGCCTATATATATTTTTTTATTCTATATCCAGTAATTATTCATTTTAGATGATTGCGTAATTCCAGTTATTATTTCAATTATTTGCTTTAATTTACATCTTTCAGGGTTGTGATTGAGATATAAATTATACTATGAATATTTAGATATCTGACTAACATTGTGTTATTAAAATATTGGATTTATTATTCCCTTAGTCTAATAGTTGATTATCCTCAACAGTTTTGTCTTTATGAGAAATTTCTTTGACGATGGTATTTCTTATCCTTCTATATGTGGATTTTATCTATAGTATTATATTTCTTGGCCTTGCCACACAGGCCTCCCGGGCTGTCGATTTGCTGCAAGTTTTCCATCGTCATAGTTCATTTACAGAGATTCCTATAGTCTCTTTATGGTTTTCTTTGGTGTTCATATTTCTTACACTCAAGTCAGTAGTGCTCTATGTTATTGTATATCTGGCTTAATTCAAAAGACTCTTTCCTGTTTACTATGGCAACCCCATCAAAGTTGTAGTCTAAGCAGTTTTTTTTTTTTTTTTGCAAGGGATTTTAGGTTCATCTGTTGTCTGACTCTGTCTTTTAGGAAATAGTTTTTTGTTGTTGTTTTTTTTTGTTAATTAAAATGTGTTTGTTGGTAGCACATTGGCGTTTTTTTTATTAATTTCAGTTGTTGTATTTATTATCTTTCAGGGCCCTAATTTTCCCTTTCTTGATAAGGGGAGGCAAACCAACGCCAGTGTCTGTCTTCTTGATGGCGGCAGGTTTCTGTATTGTCAATGGCTACCTACAGACAGGGCTACATCCTGAAATATGCAGATTTGACATGGACACCCCAGATGTACCCGCGCATAATTCTTGGTGAGGGATTCCGTTTTAGATTTCCTGTCTACCTAGCTGATTATCTACATGTGTGTAATAGTAATTCAAACAGCAATATCCTGTTCAACCCATCATGGCTATAAAAGGGATATATTTAGGTGTATTCTGCTACAATGACTGTTCCCTTATGGTAAATATCTTGTTGTCAAAATTTGCTTGTAAGCATAAGACAAGTTTGTGCAGGAAGCCAAAGAAAAAGAATAAATCAGCACAGAACTGGAATCTAGAGCCACTACACACCAAGGGATATCTTTAGGAGGGGATCTGAACACTTACAGAATAATTCATGATCTATCAACTGACTTACTGTAGGAGAAGATTGCTCACATTTTACTGGAGCCTGTAAGGGAAAGAATAGTAACACTGTAGACTGTAACGAAAGAAGGTTGACGTGGCAACGGGATGCCCCATCCTTTGAAAATATCTGCACAATTCAACCAACCGTGAATGTGCCTACAAAGGTTAGTCAGTTAGAGGTCAGTGGATGAGGAAAGATAGAAGGGAAAAAAAGAAACACTTATGGCAGGCACACGAGACAGATATGGAAATGGATGCTTGTTCTGTGAGATTCGTGAACATGACAGTGAGAAGTTACAGACAAGAAGAAGAAACTGGCTGGCAAGTAATTTGCACATTGTTGGTTTTATAAATTTCCTTTTTGGAAAACTGGATATTTTAGATTACGTATTTTAAGTGTTCTTTGGCTGATATAAGTTGCCAAACCCAATAAGTACCCAAATGAAAGCTAAGACAGTGCATTTCTTTGATCTTCTTTATGCATCTTCAAATGTAGACCTGAATATATTTAGAGAAATCAGCAGTCAACTTGGGATTGTTGACATCTTCATTGCATTTGTACTCTAAAGGAGCAGATGACAGCCAGAAGTGTGGGCAGAACCAGGGCTAAACTATATCGAGAAATAACAGATGAAATGGTTCAGACCCGTTTCCAGATTGCCACAGGACAGTGCACCACAGAAAGCCCTATAATATAGATACAGTAGAATAGAGCTAGAGTTGCCCGTGCAGTCGATAGAGAGATAGACTATCTGAGGCTATGTATCTTAGCATCCTTGCAGCACACAGATGAAGCAGAAGCCAGTCTGAATAATTTTCTCTACTCTGCATACGTTGAACAGTTTTGTGGAATACGTTAAACAGTTTTGTGGCATACGTTGAACAGTTTTGTGGCATACGTTGAACAGTTTTGTGGCATTCGTTGAACAGTTTTGTGGCATACTTTGAACAGTTTTGTGGCATTCGTTGAACAGTTTTGTGGCATACGTTGAACAGTTTTGTGGCATGATGAAAAGTTTTGTGGCAAATGTTTAACTATGACTTTACCAGTTATGCAGTTACACTCACCAGCATCTCTTATCCTTAGCTTATTGAACAAGCATCATATTAGCATGTTAGGTTCTGCGCAGAGTCTGAAGATTGCTACATGTTAACTTTTGCCAAGTTGATGGAATGCATTACCTTTCTGGTGACATTATTGTGGTAATATGTTTCTATGTATTATGTGTTGTTTAACCAGCTTCTTACATTGAACTTATTTTTTTATTTTCAAAATCTTTTAGGTGTATTGCTGTTTCTATCAGGCATGATTATTAACCTTCATTCAGACAGCGTTCTCAGAAATTTACGAAAACCTGGCGAGAGTGGTTACAAGATTCCATATGGTAAGTTACAACCAAGAAATTTCTAAAGCAAATACTTTATTCCAGCGAATAAATACTTTTTGAAACTTATTTCACAATGTCTTAAATATTATTGACACCTTTCCATCTCTTCAGACCATATTATTGCATTTTGGGTTATGAGCTTGGTTATCTTCACGGCCTCCGGACATGTCCATAGGTGCTCAGACTCCCTCTTAAACATATGATAGCGCCCCCATGATTGATAGTGCCAGTCCTATGCTGGTTAACTAGATCGGCAACATGATTACACTGTGTTGTAGGGAGGAATGGAAACCATTTCCCATGATGGCAGGTGTAACTAACAAGACTGGCAACATGATCACGCTGTGTTGTAGGGAGGAATTGAAACCACTGCCCATGATGGCAGGTGTAACTAAGAAGATTGGCAACATTATTACACTCTGTTGTAAGGAGGAATGGAAACCATGGTGGGTGTGACTAACTAGACCTGCTGACATTAAGAAATATCTTCCACCATAAATCCATCAGATTTTAGGGCTAATATTGCTATCACAGCATTTGTCTCTTCTCGAACATCTTTATATCATAGTAGAGGCCAACCTTAACATCTTCTTCCCATTTGTAATTTACTATAGAGGATGTCCTTAAGGACTTTAACATCTTCCATCCTCAGTGTTGTCTGGCTATCTCAGCCTTTTAGACTCACAACAAAAGCATCTTATATTCTTTAATAAAGTCTTCCCACTGTGGGTTCCAGGACCTAGGAACATGTGGGTTCCAAGACCCAGGAACACATGGGTTCCAGGACCCAGGAACATGTGGGTTCCAGGATCCAGGACCATGTGGGTTCCAAGACCCAAGACTTTGTGGGTTCCAGGACCCAGGAACACATGGGTTCCAGGACCCAGGAACACATGGGTTCCAAGACCCAGGACTATGTGGGTTCCAGGACCCAGGAACACATGGGTTCCAGGACCCATGAACATGTGGGTTCCAGGATCCAGGACTATGTGGGTTCCAAGACCCAGGAATATGTGGGTTCCAGGACCCAGAAACACATGAGTTCCAGGACCCAGGAACATGTGGGTTCCAGGACCCAGGAACATGTGGGTTCCAGGACCCAGGAGCATGTGGGTTCCAGGACCCAGGACCATGTGGGTTCCAGGACCCAGTTTGAGGAACAAACAATAGACCGACTTATCCCTAATAATGTATTGTACCTGGCGACTTAGGTATTTGCTGAAATTGGATGTGTTGGGCAGAAAGCTGCAGATATCACAGCCTAGCTATAAACCACAACATGCCATGCAAGCTGCTATTTTAAGGGCAAACATAGAAGAAGAAGAAAAAAAAAAAAATCCTAGCCTGAACATGGCATGGCAACTATTGAGACAACTTTAGTCGTTAGCAATTATCTGAAATTCTTAAAAACAAACACTGGCAGTGATTTAATGGAATTTTAAAAATAGTCTAATAATCTTTGTGAGGTGATGAAGACACTAAAAGACATTAAAAGACTTGCCATTCTTGTAGAAGCCGCATCGAAGGTAAAGTTTCAGACAGCCATGTCAAGAAGTTGGTACAAATTAGAATATAACGACAAGAGATGACCACACCCAAAAAGTTTTTAAGAGAGTACATACAACCTGAGCGAGAGAAAAAGTATTGTTGGTATTACTGCAGCCAGCCTTCTGTGTGGAGATGTCTCTTGAGTATTTCAGGGGTCAACAAATGGCAGTTCCCTCTCTGTTGACATGCAGTGCTTTATGGACAGTGCTGTTTGTCTTGCCATAGTTAATCAGTCTCATTATTGAATGGCTGCATTACGTGCATAGAATTGCACAGGAACAACTTAAACTCTGTGAGAGGAGAATGCTTTAGCAAACAAGGCAGTTGTGAGAAAACATACCAGGTTGTGAGGCTGGAGGCTTCTGCGTGTAAGATGTTAACAAGCCGTGTCAGATTTCATTTGTGTTTGGCTTCACATAGAAGATTCACCTTCATTGTAATTTTAAGAAGGGAATTTGTTTCCACTGTATGTTGCTGTAGTATATTTACAAAGTGAGAACCGCAGGGGGAATGATTAAAAAGTGAGTTGACCACCCCATTCCATAAAGCCATAACCTAGTAGATACTGTTTTCTGTAATTTTAAAAATCCTCTCTTGTATCTGTAAGGTGATTAATTTGTGATGCAAATTAATCTGTTTTTGTATAATTCAGGTGGGATGTTCAATTATGTTTCTGGTGCTAATTTCTTGGGTGAGATTTTAGAGTGGTGGGGATTTGCCATTTTGAGCTGGAATCTACCTGCTCTTGCATTTGCTATTTTCACACTGTGCAACATCGGACCCAGAGCTCTTCAGCACCACAGGTAAACAAAATTTTTTTAAATGAACGAAAGTATATTGCAACTTTATTTTAAAATGTCTAACAATCTATTATTAACAAGCAGTAGGATTATTTCTTCACTTTTGAATGTGCAGCTGGCATTGTCTGCCCTTGTTGTCTGCCAGTTATTATGTGTGGTTATCTAAAATTAGACAAAAATGTGCCAAAGCACATTGACTAGTAACTATTTTCATTGGATTTCACAAAGCAGAAGAATTTTGTGGAAACTGAAAAATAAAGAAATGAAAAGATCTAAGAGAGTGAAGAAGGAACTAAAGGAGTGAAGGAGAATATAAATTAGTGGAGAAAAAAAACTAAAAGAATAAAGAATAACAGGGCTTGAATTGAGGTAATTGAGGGCGTATGCTCCTGTAAGAGCTAAAAGTTGGAAGGTAAAGAATAAAGAGATTGATAAGGTGAACATCAGGGGACATGTCTTCATCACAAAGGAACAAACTCGGAAAATAAACAGGACAGAACAGTAAATGTCTTCCCTTGTAGTAAATAGAGTATGGGATATTCTTATTATAGTCTCTGCATTGACTTTAGTCCTCATGTCCATCCACAGCCAATGACTTGTGTACAAAAGTCCCTCCCTTTCTGCCAAATTGTCAAAAATCTCTCTGTGTCTCCCCTTCTCTCTCTACACATCCAACTTTTCTACTGTTCTGACATGCGCCAGTTTTCTACATTTCATGACTTGTCCAAAGAATGTTAAGAAAAGATATCAATCCAAACGACTTTCATGACTTGTTCAAAGAATGTTATGAAAAGATATCAAACCAAACAACTTTTATGACTTGTCCAAAGAATGTTATGAAAAGATATCAAACCAAACAACTTTCATGACTTGTCCAAAGAATGTTATGAAAAGATATCAAACCAAATGACTTTCATGACTTGTCCAAAGAATGTTATGAAAAGATATCAAACCAAACAACTTTCATGACTTGTCCAAAGAATGTTATGAAAAGATATCAAACCAAACAACTTTCATGACTTGTCTAAAGAATGTTAAGAAAAGATATCAAACCAAACAACTTTCATGACTTGTCCAAAGAATGTTATGAAAAGATATCAAACCAAACAACTTTCATGACTTGTCCAAAGAACGTTTTGAAAAGATATCAAACCAAATGACTTTCATGACTTGTCCAAAGAATGTTATGAAAAGATATCAAACCAAACAACTTTCATGACTTGTCCAAAGAATGTTATGAAAAGAAATTTAAACCAAACAACTTTTATGACTTGTCCAAAGAATGTTATGAAAAGATATCAAACCAAACAACTTTCATGACTTGTCCAAAGAATGTTATGAAAAGATATCAAACCAAACAACTTTCATGACTTGTCCAAAGAATGTTATGAAAAGATATCAAACCAAACAACTTTCATGACTTGTCCAAAGAATGTTATGAAAAGATATCAAACCAAACAACTTTCATGACTTGTCCAAAGAATGTTATGAAAAGATATCAAACCAAATGACTTTCATGACTTGTCCAAAGAATGTTATAAAAAGATATCAAACCAAACAACTTTCATGACTTGTCCAAAGAATGTTATGAAAAGATATCAAACCAAACAACTTTCATGACTTGTCCAAAGAATGTTATGAAAAGATATCAAACCAAACAACTTTCATGACTTGTCCAAAGAATGTTATGAAAAGAAATCAAACCAAACTTGTCCAACTTTCATGACTGAATTACACAAATGTCCAAAGAAGTTATGAAAATAGATATCAATACACAAACAACTTTCATGACTTGTCTTCAAAGAAATGTTATGAAAAGATATCAAACCAAACAACTTTCATGACTTAAATACTGTCCAAAGAATGTTATGAAAAGATATCAATGTTGAGTCCCCTACTTTCATGGCTTGTCCAAAGATGGATGTTATGAAAAGATATCACACCACTCAACTTTAGGGTGACTTGTGCAAACCTCCATGTTATGAAAAGATATGAAGTGTGCCCATTGTGAATGATTACATAGATCTAGTTAGATCCTGTCTAACAATCATCAAAAAGTATGTTATTTGAAAATTGGGTGTAGAAAGTCTCTCTAAGCACATGGTACAAAGAGAAATTTGATGATCTAACAGGAAAGCACAGATACGAATAAGTGTATACACAATGAATTTAACTGACATATCTTCAGTAGAAATCACAGTTCTGTCAGGCCAGTAAATCCGACACATAAGGGTTACTACTGTGCCAAATGAAATACAAATGACCTCAAAGACATTTTCGATATAAAATTGCCAGTTGTCTATTTGTTTTTTGTAGTCCCCTTGACGTGAAATGGCTGTCTGAGATTTATGTTCAGGTGGCATCTCGAGAGACTTACAGACCTGTCTTTGGGGTGGCAAGATTTGATATGGCCAGAACCTCCATGTTGAGGACTGTCTCGACAAGTTGGGCTACAGTGTGCCCATTGTTGTCTTTGAGAGGAGAGACAATGCGAGAGAAAAAAACTCATCTAGGGGACAATATTTGTACAAACCGCTGTTCTAAAATCATGAAAAGTGTATGATATTTAAAAAAAAGGATGTCAGTTGCATATGTTTGGTGCTGTATATGTTTTTAAAAAAATGATTTAGTTTGTATGTGGTACAAAGAGAAATTTGATGATTACCCCGCCAGCAGGAAAGCTTTAATTCCTTTTTTGTTGTAGTGTGTTTACAGCGAATGAATATGTTAATTTCCTGAGTTCATGCACTGCGCTGAAATTCTTCAGAATCAGGTTTAAGCTAGAAGTAGATCGAAGCACTTAAGGGTTACTACTCTTGTGCCATGATGTTAATCCGTTGTTCAATCCATCAAACAAAGTTCACCAGCATTTATTACATTTTATATTTTTATTTGCACATAGAAATTGTAGAAATCACTTCTGACTGAATCATTCCCCCTATTTCACTGCACATTGAGAGTATTTCAGACTCCCTGGTCACTTCTGACTGAATCATTCCCCCTATTTCACTGCACATTGAGAGTATTTCAGACCCCCTGGTCACTTCTGACTGAATCATTCCCCCTATTTCACTGCACATTGAGAGTATTTCAGACCCCCTGGTCACTTCTGACTGAATCATTTCCCCTATTTAACAGCACATTGAGAGTATTTCAGACTCCCTGGTCACTTCTGACTGAATCATTCCCCCTATTTCACTGCACATTGAGAGTATTTCAGACCCCCTGGTCACTTCTGACTGAATCATTTCCCCTATTTAACAGCACATTGAGAGTATTTCAGACTCCCTGGTCACTTCTGACTGAATCATTTCCCCTATTTAACAGCACATTGAGAGTATTTCAGACTCCCTGGTCACTTCCGACTGAATCATTTCCCCTATTTAACAGCACATTGAGAGTATTTCAGACTCCCTGGTCACTTCCGACTGAATCATTTCCCCCTATTTAACAGCATACCAAAAGTTTTTCAGACCCTCTGGACCCATTGAATCAGAGTCCACCACTGTGGATTCTCTGTTCTGCTGCACTTTCCATTGATGTCAGAGATGATTCAGCATGACTGGAAACAATGTAACATTTCAAGCATGTCATAAGAGGTGTCTAAGGAATGGTGGCTTGAGACTGGTTACTTCATCTCATAAACAACTGTAGCTATAAAATCAGGCCAGTCTGGAACTAGTTTAGCTGTCTAATGCAACCAGTCAACAAAAGATTTGGAGTCAGCAGGTTGAGAGCCTATGCTCCAGTGGGAGATGAAAAAGAAAAGAAGAAATTGTTTGTGGCACATGACAAAAATTGCTCATTTATGAGGTAATTCTTCCTTTAGAGGGAGTCGGCCTAGCGTAGATGCTAGACGCTTGCGTGCGGATCGAAAGGTCGGGGATTCGCTCCCTGGTGGATGCAGACTTTTTTTTTTCAAAAATGACCCTGACTCCCAGGTAGACCCAGCCTTGAGGGGGAAGTAAAGGCGGCCAGCGTGATACTGACCACATCACCCATCTTGTGCCGATTGGTCTATAAAAATATAGGTCTAGCCCTATATGCCTAAAGGCGTGGAAAAGGGACCTTTACTTTACTTACTTCCTTTAGAGTGGAAATGTGCACTGATGATTTTTGGTTTTCATCACAGTGCTCTCAGGTTTTGACAAACTGAACTCACTTTCCAAATATGTTTTTCTAAAGAATATGTAACACCAGATCTGGTATGAACAAGTTTTTTAAAAAGACTTTTCTACAGACTGCATGAACTAAACATCTGTGCAAAGATGTAAGGTGTGAAGTGAATCAACAATGAGATCTGAATAAAACTCTGATATGTTTTATATATAACTTTAAAAGGAAGGAGAAGCCAGATTTTGTCGTATGAAAAGGAAAAGAAAGAAGAGCTCGAGAGAATATGGTTTATTTCATCATCAGTATATTCTTTAAACTATTGTAGGTACAAATCTCAGCCACACATCTTGTCGTCACAGTATTGGACTCGCGGTGGAGTCCGTTTTTTTTCATATGGAATAGGTTACATCAATCCAGAGGTCACAGGTAGTGAGAGTCATATAGATAGTTTGCTGGGCCATTCAGGTGTATTTGAGAATGAGCAGACAGATAGGCTAGCTGGACTGGCCCCACTTAGATGTGTACTGCAGTTTCACAAGGCAGATGTGATCTGTAACATGTAGGACAAGGTAACAGGTGAAATAGAAGATATTGAAAACCCGTACCTGGAGAAAACGATGCAGCAAGGAGTGGCTTTGGGCACCGCTCGAGACTCAAAGAGAAGGCAAGACAAGTAGTTAACCAGATGGCAACAGGTACCATCAGTATGGAAACTCTGCTGTCTGTTGAGGGAGACGGAGCTAACATGGGCTTGTTCTGAGTGCTGTGATGTCAAATCTTTACCCAGATGACCAGTTACAGATGAAAAGCAATTTTATGACAAGAAGAAAAACTGTAGCAAAACAGAAAATGTTGCCCTCAGCAGGATTTAAATGGAAGGCTTTACTAACGTGCCAGTTTGGATGCAGAGCTGATTTTGCTCAATCTCGAGGGCAGTAATCACAGAAAGTAATAATCATGTGACACTTCTTTTGAGTAGAGATCAAATCTATTGTATGAAATGTTTGGGCACTCTCTTTGGTTTAATACTGGACTCCATGTCAAAACAGTGTTTGTGCATTTATTTGTGATTTTTTATAACCGAATAAATGATATTTTCTGACAACATCATCAGATAAAACTACATCTTGTCATGGTCTTGTTTTACTGTGTAAACTTTGAACTTATTTCACAATCTGCATAATTGTCATTTTGTGTGTGTGTGGTTTTACTGACAAAGATGTCATGGAAACTGAAATATTTTGGCCACATCAAGCGCCAGGTAGGACGGAAAGAACAGTAATGAAAGGCGTGGTCCAGGGAAAGAGGGGCAGGATATAGTCACACCTTGGGTTGGAACGTGAGGCAGGAGAACCAATGTTTTTGGTTTTCTTTGGGGAAAAAGGGGGGGGGGGGGTTATGAAAGCAAAATTGTGTAAAGTATCTGGATGATGATGATGATTGATGACTGATACAAGGGAACACTTTATTTGTGCAGATATTTTGATGTGCTAGTTGTGTGCCATAAATGATGCTTGGAGAATCTGAGCACAATGCATGGACTCCACCAGCATGGATCCAAATGTGTGTGCCAGAATCATAGAATAGTGCTGTTCAAGCACTAAAGAGAATGATATAGTTTCACATGAAAACCTTTATATGAGCTACTGCCAAGTGGAAGGAGAAGCCATGTATTGCCATTTATGAAAATGAGTAGGAAAAAAACTAGAGAGAAAACTTGTAATTTGTTCTTCTCCATTTATGAATTTGTTCATTTAACTTTATAGTTCTAAATGAAATAAAAAGTTATTTCATGACGATGAGAAGAAGCAGATGCAAAACAGAAAACTTTTGACCTAAGCTAGATTTAACTGGAATGAAAATAATAGTCATGACAATAATGAGGTGTAGGAAAAAAACCAACAAAGCAAACTCAATGTAGGCTAACTCCATATGGAAAGAGAAGGGAAAACTGTAAAAATTGTAATAGATCTCAATACCAGATGTATGGATAAGGCAGTAGTGAAGATGTGAAGAAGATAAAGGGGAACAAGATTAGGAGGAGGAGAAGTAGATGAAAACTACAAATTAGAAGAAGAAAGAAGCAGAGGACTCGAGCCTTCAGTCCTGGGTAGACAGAAACAAAGATGTAGCAGTGACTGAACATATATTGTTCTATTAACGAAACTACATGGATAAAATACTGATAAATTGCTCTAGCATTTAATGAGACTGAACATATATTGTTCTATTAACGAAACTACACGGATAAAATACTGATAAATTGCTCTAGCATTTAATGAGACTGAACATATATTGTTCTATTGATGAAACTACACAGATAAAATAGTGATAAATTGCTCTAGCATTTAATGAGACTGAACATATATTGTTCTATTAATGAAACTATACGGATAAAATACTGATAAATTGCTCTAGCATTTAATGAGACTGAACATATATTGTTCTATTGATGAAACTACACAGATAAAATACTGATAAATTGCTCTAGCATTTAATGAGACTGAACATATATTGTTCTATTAATGAAACTATACGGATAAAATACTGATAAATTGCTCTAGCATTTAATGAGACTGAACATATATTGTTCTATTAACCAAACTACATGGATAAAATACTGATAAATTGCTCTAGCATTTAATGAGACTGAACATATATTGTTCTATTAACGAAACTACACGGATAAAATACTGATAAATTGCTCTAGCATTTAATGAGACTGAACATATATTGTTCTATTGATGAAACTACACGGATAAAATACTGATAAATTGCTCTAGCATTTAATGAGACTGAACATATATTGTTCTATTAATGAAACTATACGGATAAAATACTGATAAATTGCTCTAGCATTTAATGATACTGAACATATATTGTTCTATTGATGAAACTACACAGATAAAATACTGATAAATTGCTCTAGCATTTAATGAGACTGAACATATATTGTTCTATTAATGAAACTACATGGATAAAATACTGATAAATTGCTCTAGCATTTAATGAGACTGAACATATATTGTTCTATTAACGAAACTACACTGACAAAATACTGATAAATTGCTCTAGCATTTAATGAGACTAAACATATATTGTTTTGTTAATGAAATTCTATTTATGAATAGCCACATAAAGTGTCAAGGCAGACTGGAAAGAATAACAGCAGAAGGCAGGATACCAAGACAGAGGGGCAGGGGCCGACCAGTATGAAGATGAGCACAGGATGTAGTGACACTTTGAGCAGGAAAGTACATAAGACAGGAAAACTGGCGAGAGTTTCTTTCAGGCAGACTGTGATGAGAGTGATGTTCTGCAATGATGAGTCAATTATTTGATCTGGAGCGGGACCAATGTTTACTCTACACACTTAAAGAAAGAAAGTTGGTCAAATAGTGCACGCATTCAGTAAATTTACAACTGAAAATGTCAGTAACATGGCAAGAGAATAATATGACAACAAATACGGATGACTTCTCAAACAAGGAAGATAATACACCACAGACAACCCAGTGAAATTCTGATGTTTCTGAACACACAGAAGGCATGTCAAATAATGTATTTTATTGTCTACAACTTACAATG